GCGTGAGATTTTTATTGGGAAATTCCGCAACTTTTGAACTATTTTTGCACAGACCAAAATGCAAAGGAGTGAATATCATTAATAGGCAATCGTTCGGTGGACGTAATTGCACAAAGCGCATGGTCGCACCGGCCTGGTGCGCGTTGCTATTTATTTTCAAAAATAAATTTGGTGTAAGCCGCGCATTATCGTTCCGGCAAGTAGCGATGGGAGTGAGGTTTCGGTATCTAGGGGTCAGTTACAGCATTGCATTTCGTAGGATTTTTAGCTTTGTAAATATTTGAAGCTTTTTGACTGAAATTCGTGCGGGGGGTAGTTTTTGCTGCTGTTGGGTGAAATACGATTTAGTAAACTCATCCTGCTGAGGGTAGACATAACTCATCGACTTTGTGGCTCTGATCAATTTCATGAAGAGCTTCGGGCTTCCGCTTTTTGGTAGTTTGGCTCCATCTCGCTGCGGTGCAGCTAGCGGTGTTTTCGTTTGCTCTGTTGTGGATCCATCTCACTGGTATAGTTCAAGTGGGCGTTAATTTGGCAAGATTAGAATAATGAAATCTAGAGAATTCGACTTCGCTTTAACTGATTGGTGCTAAACTGTTGGGCGTCTTTTTATCATTCAGTGTTCGTCCACGCTTGTTTCTGTGTTATTTCTAGCTGTATGACTTTGTTACATCAGGTGAATCGATCAGTAGATGAAAATGAAGTTTATGTTGGTGAAAACAGTGGAGCGACAATACCAAGTGATTCTGCTGCTGTTATTAAGCAGGACGAGGTCTGAGTTCTTTTTCATATTGTAACTATCATGAAATTATCGTCGCTAAACATTTCTTAATATCTTTTGCAGCCACCTTTTATCTGTCTTGTGTTCATCACGGCGTTTGCTTACATTCTGACGGTTCCAAAAATCCAGTGAGCAGGTTTTTAGGAGATACAAGAAACTGAGACTGTTCTGGAAATCATTCGTCAGCGAACTGTTTCCGAAAACTGTTCTGTTACATTGGATGCGCAGCAGAATGTTTCGAAGGTCTCATTATCGATTGATGAAGGAGTCATCGATTCCAGTCCGTCACAAGGTTGCAAAATTTCTCATTCATTTATCGTTGTAGAAAAAAACACTATGCCGTAAATTATACCTTGGGTGATGCAGACGGGAGTCGGTCTA